GGAGCTTACTGTAAGCACCTCCTGTGTTCTTAAAAAGCCTTTGATTAACTTTAAAAAAAATGTTTGTTTGTATGCCACTTATGCAAACAGTACAATTTGCATTTATACTACTAATTCATAAATGCAAGCACTGCAGTTCTAGATTATGAAACTACACATCGCCTCGGCAAAACATCTACACGACCTATATTTGTCCCTCATGCAGGATCTGCTTGTGTGTTTGTTTGCATGTTAAAGTGTTCCCATTCATACCTTTACTCCAGAGATTTGTGGTTTTGGCACCTGAAGATGTGGGCCGTCAAAACAAAACCGCCTCCCATCTCATCTGGCAGCAGAGGCGTGCAAAACAAAGGGATTCGTCAGAGAGGAAATTACACCACGGAGGCAGAGCCGTGATGTTACACGACTGGTCCTGCTGCACAACATGACATAACAATATCTTCATTTAATTTTGCGATCTAAGGAAGGAGCTCTTTGACCCTTTTATAGGTACCGTGCTTTATAACTAGGTTTTTCAAGAGTCAAATAGCCACAGTAGTAGACTCTACCTCACCTGGCTGACGCTGTTTAGGCAGAAGACTGTATAGATGCTGCTTCACTTTGCTCTTTGCCTTGTCTCGTCCAATTACATGTTCCACTGTCAGAGCAGATGCTCTCTTAATCAGGTAATGCCGGGGTTTAAAGGCATCCCCCTAAACATGCTCCACAGATTATTACCCCGCTCACACGTAGCTTTAATAGAGCACACCAACACGATGAACCTCTGCCTCATCTCCTCACTGCTACATCATTTGAATCTAAATAGAACTACTTTTATTAAGTTGTGTCCTGCAGATTTGTAGACACTGTATATCTGCTGTTGCTGGGGAGTCTGGCCTGTCACATTGTCTCAGTCTCTGGCTGATAAAGTGACATAGTTGTGTCAGCTGATCTCCCTCCCCCCCTTCCACGCTAACTATGGAACCTCCTTATCCTGAGAGCACTTCCACTGTACAGCCTCAGGCCTCCACGGGAACTAATTCCTTACAAACTGTGGCAGGCAATAAAAGATGGTGGTCCCTCACACACACACACACACACACACACACACACACACACACACACACACACACACACACACACACACACACACACACACACACACACACACACAGAAAAGAGATACACAGTTTACATGCTGACAAGTCACAAGACAAGCTCTACATCATATACAAAGTGTGATACAATCAGCTGTGCACACAAATTGTTCTTTCTGCCCACACCCTCACTTTGTTACACACACTCTTGTCATAATGATTCAACTTTTAAAGCACATCTTATCAGTCTTATTGTGGTACTGACATGTTTGTGTTTGCTGTCCCTGAGGTCTCAGCTGAAGGCGCTCGCTGTTGCTTTTTGAGCAACAGATTAAAGGGCATTTGATGCACCTGCATCAGAGCAGCCCGATGATATTCCAGATGACAGTGTGTAGTGTAATAAGTAAGTGTTTGTTTGAGGAACTCTGCACATGACGATGGCTTAAAAGGACAGGACTTGTATGGGCAGTCATCAAGATAGGTTGGATGTGGATTTTTAGTGTTTAAACTAAACCTTATAGGACTGAACCTGATAGGATTAGCATTGTTAGCCCAGCCTATGTGACAGAGCGCTCACTCTGGATCCTGTTGCAGAGTCTTGGAGAAAGACTGGATTACACCTACTTGACTAATTTTTAGTCAAAATCACCGCCATGATCAGTCTGTTGAAACAGGTCATAACTGTCTGCATGAATGTTTAGAACCGGATGAACTTGGAGGGGAAATCTGTCTTTCGGGTCACTCTGTTATTGCAAGGTTCTTTCATTAAGCATTTTTTTTACATTGATGTGAGTTATATTTGCCCATTCATGTGATTTCTGAAGTTACATTTTCAAACATTTACTAAAATTTCCAGATATTTTTAAAACAATCCTTTACCAACAATCAAGGTTTTCCCTCCCATGTGAACTTCCTCATCTGCCTTGTGCCTTTTAAACTTCACAATTTAACTTCTCCCTAGAGGAACCCAGTATGACCACATTCCTGTAATATTTGCTGCTGAGCAGCTCTCTTTACGTATATGGGTATCTTGGCCTTGTTCTAGGGACTCCCAACTCCCAGCTGAAGCAGTTAAGTTTTGTATTTTTACAGCAAGTTGCATCGTCAGTCTGCGCTTATAAACAAAGATGTCTTCTTAACCTATAAGCTGTTACAAACCTGCTTTGTGGCAAAATGTGTATACCTTTGTCACCCTGCGACTTATACGACTGATCAAATCTTTGTTTGGCTTAATGGTCTGATTTTGTGGCTTATTAAACCTTGCAGTTGCTCCACTGCAGCCCCCTTAAAATGGACCAAAATCAATTGATTATTGGATAAGAAGAGCATCTTGACCAAACCTTAGAGCTAAAAGGCCAGGTGTTTTCATTATGGCAGCCATCAGTGGTGATTCTTATTGAATTGAAAGCCATTAGAGGGCCATTCGAAAGTCACCCAGTAGGGTCTCCATTGGTGTTTACCCCCTCTGTGACCTAGCCATTATAGTCAATTTCTAGCACATGAACTATCTGCCCTTTGTACTAACTGAACCTGATAGGATGACTCATTAGCATTGTTTAGCGTTGTTAGCCCAGCCTATGTGACAGAGCGCTCACTCTGGAGGATCCTGTTTCAGAGTCTTGGAGAAAGACTGGATTACAACTACTTTCAAATTTTTAGTCAAAATCACAGCCATGATCAGTCTGTTGCAACAAATCATAACTGTCTGCATGAATGTTTAGAACCGGATGAGCTTGGAGGAGAAATCTGTCTTTTTCGGGTCACTCGGTTACTGTGTATTTTCGTTCAGTTTCATTTCTCACACACATTTGTGTTTTCACTTTCATTCTTCTGGGAAAGTTTTGATTTGTCACCAGCATTAAGTCTAATGTGAGGTTTTTCACCACGTAATGAAACTGTCCCTCATCAGTTATGGTTTAATCAGCCGCACTCTGTTTAAGGGGAGCTTGAACTTCTAACCCTGTGATCTTTGACCTCCTGTTAAATAGCAACAGATGGTTGGACTGAGAGTGTTTAGCAAATGAGATAATTTCATGATCGGACAGAAAATATTGCCCCTGCTGACCCACAAGAGGCTTTAAACTCACTTAGAAAAGTATTTGAATTGATGACACTGCAGGGTCCTGGGTGTCGTCAGTCAGTTAGTGTGATGGATGTAACTGGATACTCAAACAGTGTTTTTCTGTTCCCGCAACAACATTCAAAATCATTTTTTTTACTATTGTGCTGCTGATGGATAGCTCTATTATCAAGTACTGAATTCTCTATCCAATTGACTTGCATTGATAAACAAAGGCTCAACAATGGCTGATTTAAAAAAAAAAAGGCTCATCTAATTAAACCAATTGACAATGTTTTTTGATCCACTTTATGTACTTAAAAAAAAATGATAGCCATTGAAATAGAATACAGTAAGAGTGTTTTCACACTCTGCCTAATTCTGTCACTCAGTTTGCAGATCAAGGGCCTGACTGAGATTTAGCATGTGACAGCATTAGAGCTCAGAGGAAATTCCTCCAGAGGATGAGAACCAGGAGCCATGCAGGAAAGGGAAAAGGAAAAGAGGAAGGTGGAGTTAGGAAATCCAGGGTTTATGAAATGTAATCGGCAGAATTGGAGTAATTTGTGTTTTTCCTATTGGCTTGATTTTATTATCCTATGTGCAGTCAAAAAAAAAAAAAAAAGTTTATTTGGTTAAATGGAGCATTTTGTGACTGCTCCTCACATCACAGATTTCTGATGTATAAAAGTGGCATGCAGCACTTCACCCTACTTAATATCATCCCCCTGAAGACTTCTATGGACTTGCGCAGGGTTCAATAGGGGAATCGGTTTACTCTCCAGTTATGTCAGCACATGACATCACGTGAGTGCATTCCTCAGCTGGCTCACTTGGCAGGTATTTGAGGAGAAATCGCCCTGGCCAAGAGAGGGCCACCCAGCTGCTTCTCCCTAAATCAGCCTTCATGTAGTACAAGAGCTTTTTCTTTCTTTTTTTTTTTTTTCAACAAAGCCAAATAGCCCAGCAGGGTCCCCTTTTTGCAGTTACAAGTTGTATTTTCTAATTATCCAAAAGGGAATATGGTTTAAAATTGAAACTTTTCTCCTGTCTAATTAATCGTGTGCCGTGATTAAAAAGGCACACTTTGTTCTACCCTGTAATAGGCTTCAAGGTCTCAACGGACATGAAAAAACCCTGTGGACACTAAACTTTCAGCTCACTGCTAACTTCCTGCAAACAGCACTAGATAAGATGTGTTAAATGAGTTTGAAGCTCTTAAACGGATGACTGTGGCTGTCATAGTCACTTGAGGATGCTCGTCAAAAAAACACTTTTTGATATCTTTTGATGCGTGCACTTGAGGTTTTGACTTCTGTTGCTTTGGACTTCCACCAAAGAAGAACGGCTTTGTTTGCTTTTCTATGTTCCACGAAAAGTACAGAGCAGCGGTCACTGTATGAGTTCAATGTCGTTTGGCTTTTTGTGGAGTCTAAACACTGAAAGATGGACGGCACACTGAAGCATACTTTTTCTCTGTCTCTCTGCCGTTGACCCTTGTGTTTCTGCAAAGCACCTGTCCCTCTCTGCCGTTGACGCTCTGTTTGTGAGGAATGCTAACACTGGATGGATCATGTTGTTTTCAAAATGCTCCTTTTTAATAAGTATCGATATGCTGGAAAAGAATGGAAAGTTACTACTTTTTTTTTAAATTTCATTTTATTTGATGAGAAAAGAAGATGTTTCTTTCCTTGAATATAATCCAACATCTTCAGTTGTCCTCATGTAGTATCGTAGTACACAATGGCACAGTACATTGCTTCAAACATCTCTTTTATTATGCACTGCTCCACTTCTAGTGAGAAGAGTTGTGCTGGTTCACACTGCGTTCTGTATCCTCATAATTCAGCTGTTATTTCTTCCAGCAGGTAGACGTGGACGATGCTTAAAGGTTTCCTCCCTTTACCGTCTTGCAGCAATGGCCTGAGGGACTCTCTGGACTGAAATCAAGGTGAGAAGCGTAGATGTAGCTGGACTGTAAAATGTCAAATAATAGAAATAAGCAGTTTTACAGACAATGCAAACATCTTCATTAAATCTGTTTTAGTCTGAGTAGCATTAGTAACAAGGGTTGATTGGGTTTCTGTTATTCAAAAGAAATATTTGCTATCGGATGAGGCACACGGTGAGAAGTTTTACAGGTCAGAGTTCACCTTTTGAAGAATGTCGTTATCTGAAGGTCCCCCTGGTAGTGTGCAGATGAAACCGTTTTGTAAAATTAAGGGCTGCATCAGGTAGCAGTGTTTCCCTTACATTCATTTGGGTTGGAGGCCCACCATCCAAACGCAACCTCCCACCCCTGCAAAAGAAAGGCACAAAATGATTCCTAGATTTCATGTCATTTGTTGTATTTCGGCACAGCATGAATGTGTTTCACTGTCCTCTTCAGCCAGTTCAGAAATACATTTCCAGAATGCCGGTTCAGTTTAAAACTTGTGAACGAGTTGCCAGTCTACATCCAAGCATGCAAATTTGACTTGAGCCCACTCGATGTTGACGTAGTTTTCGGACACAGATCCAGCAGGCAAGGCATGAAGTTAAAAGGACGCTGCATAGTATAAACAAATAAGTGAGAGAGAAGATTGAAAGATTTGGGAGCAGCTTTTTTTACATGCAGGAAGGTCCCACCGTTTTTTTTTACAACAGTAGCACGATAAAATAACGCTCAGGAACAATTCCAGATTAAGTTTTGATGAAAACTTTTGTCAGTTTCTGTTTACAGATGCAGCTCATGTGAATTATTTATTGTATTTTGGGGTTGTTGTTTTTGTTCAGGAATGCAGTGCCTGTGTAAAAGGGGCTTAAACAATAGTTTGCATTAATGTGATTGGTTGCAGCATGTTTTTGGACCAAGCTTTCGCCCCAATGTATCAGAAAATGCTTTGTCATGAGCCACACTGTTTTGCTAGAGCAGAGGCTTAATTCAGTGTTTACATTTTCCTTCATTATATATCTGATGCAGCGTCAAAATGACCTGCAGAAAAGAATAGTGAAGCTGATTCAATTTCCTGTGGTGTCCTGCTGTGTTTATTGTAATATCTGTTGAAAGTTGAGTCACGTGAACAAAGATGTTCAAATTAAGCTTTAAGTCAACAGAAACTCACCGAGATCAAACAGAGATCAGCTCAGTGTCCATATATTTAACTGTATACAATAATCAGATTCCCACAGTGACATCTGAATCTCCCCTCAGGCGCTGCTCTCGGCCACAGATGAATTGTTGACTAGATTGTTGCTGAGAGGTGCTTATTTATACCAGTTAATCAATTTTGTTATACCTCGCCTCTTTGTCTCTCTCTCTCTCTCTCCTCTGACAGCCAGAGCCCAGTGCTCTGTGCTTATTATACAGAAAGCCCTCCCCGTCCACATCCTGCGACATCCTGAAGTGACTGACATTGTTAAAGATTCATGAGCCTGATCAGCTTTCAGTAAATGGCGGGGTTGCTCTTTAGAGACATTACTTTGCAGTGATTCTTGAGTGGATGAGCTCTGGAGAAAGACTTGGGAGCAGGCAAGAAATCTGGTCACTCTAAAAAAAAAAAAAAAAAAAAAAAGGGACAGCAAGAATACAAATTTTAGTGTTGGAAAGTGAGCTCAGGAGAGAACTTACAAATGACGTTTATTACACGCTGTGTCAAATACTTGCTTCTGATTGACCAATTACACATAACAACGGTCTGCTATCCCTCGATAGATTGTCCAAAAAACCCACACCGTTACTAAGAAAAGCACACGGTTGCTCGGGAAGCAACTCTAATCACAGACTCTAGAGGAGTAATTGTAATCATTTAAATCTGCAGAAAGAAGTCAGGTTAGTTTGACATGGGACGGTTTACTGTGGAAAGAGGAGAAGGAGACGGTAACAGCATTGAATCGAGGCTAAAATATGTAAAAGCTACAAAACTGAAGATGGCTCATGAAGTAAACGCCTTACGGAATGGGATATGGTATATGATGGTGTGTAAAGACTGCTGAATGATGAAGAACACGGAGGCAGATAACTCAAATAGGCCTCGCTCTGTTTAAGGCAGAGCGTTAAGTTTAATGTAATAAAGGCTAGGATAGCTCGTTTTCAGAAATGTTGAGTTTAATTGGAGTGATAAAGGCTAGGTGAGCTCGTTTTCAGAAGGCTTTAGAGGTAACAGTTGCTACTGACACGGCTAACTCTAGATTACAGTGGACGACTTGTTAAGCGGAAGAAACAAATCCTTTATCCAATAAATACATTAATTTCCAAATAAACCTTTTGATTTCAAATTTTTCATTTCCCGAATAAGTAGCCGTGTAAGAAGCTGTGTTGACCTTTCTGGTAATACTCTGATTAAAAGTGTATCTGCCAAGTATTTCTAAAAAAATGCAGACTGTGAGAAATTGTCAAAGTAATCAGGTGCACAGCTTTCTTTTCAGCAGTAGAAATAACCTCATTAAAAGCTTCACTCAAGTCATTTTCTTTGACATGTATTCTTTAATCCAGGTTTTGAAATGTTTGTTTTAAGCAACACTTCACTTGATCAACCTGTGTCAGCCGGTTCATGCCTTTTTTGAACCCAAAGTTTCAGAATGTCCATGCATGGTACCTGACATAATACCGCTTGTATTGTTAAATTGTAGAATTATCCAGTGCTTTGCGTCATGGTCCTGCTCACCCTGTCAGAATTCCTTTCAGGACAACAACCTGCCTACTATACATCATCCCTTACCCTTTGTGTGCCTCAGCAGTGATATACGTATATGGAAATATAACAGAGCTTGGACTCTCTAAAGCGTGACACCCAGGGCCTAGAGCACACAGCAGCGTCATGCACGTCTCTGTGAAAAATGCCCATGACCTATTTTTGTTCTCTTTGTTTCCCCATCTTCCTTTACTGCCTTTACACTCTGATCCCCCCCCACGCCTCACTCACTGTCATCGATCTCATTCGGCTCTTGAGAATGACGCACCTGTCATTCAAATCTCGTTATTTCACCCCAAGATTTAACGTTTCCAATTCACATTGCTCTTAATCTTATTCAATCCATCCTCACGTTCCTCCCTCCGTCTCTCTTTGCTCCTCCCATGACCCTAACCTAATATCAGAACATCTGGTTCAAGGTAACAGCAGCTGTCAGCAGGTCCAGGGTCCACCGCAGACCCCCATCAATTTCTGTTGAAATTGATATTGGTTTTAGATATGTGTTTGTCTTTAATACCTTCTGACATAGTTCCAACATTTCCCTGTGTGCTTTGGCTCTCTCAGCACTTTTTCTCACCCTTGCAAACATTGAGATGTAAAATGAGAAGACGCGGGTCCTCTGGGCCCCTCCCATGTCATGATTTCCTCTTCAGTTTTGGGGAAACAAATGGCCCGTGCTGCAGCCCTCCAGAAGCAGCTTTTTATTGGTGCACTCTTGTTCTCTGATTCTCTCTCGGGGGGCTTGTTGTGCCAAGAAGCCGTGTGAGGACAGATTACACACCAGCAAGATATTGTTCGGTGCCCTACGGTGGTTCTGCACTTTCTGGAAGGGCCCTCATTATTACAGTGCAGGAGACTTCAAACACTCCCCCGCTAGTTTTTGATGCAGTTTAATGCACAGTCATGCTCAGCACTCTCTGAGCTCCACAAGCGCTGGGTGTGTCTTCATAATCAAAGCCCTGCTAACCCACATGATTACAGGAATGGCACATGCCCTCTCCCCTTGGCAATCAGACACTGATTTCTTTTTTTCTCCCTCTGCATCCGTTTTCCCCCCTTGATTATACTATGACTGGAATGAGTGATTCAGTGTTTTTTATTGCCCCCCCCCTCCCCCTCTGGTGATGTGCATGCAGCCTGGCTCACTTTGTGCAGCTGAATTTCATTAAGGAAAAAACATCCAGTAGGAGCAGCTAACCCTGCTTGTTGTAAGGCGGCACCACAGCTATACATTATTTTGTTGTTTAAGAAATGCATTTTAAATATAACAAAAGAATGTCATGCAAATAGTTTTTAGCTATATTAGGATCCCCTGTGTAATCTCGCACAGTGTGATGCAAAATCTAGGAATTCTTAGATATTCAGTTTGGATCAACACAGTCAGAGAGGGTTGAATAATTGAGCTTGTAGTTTGTAGTGTTGTGGAACTGGCCTGCTTTATATTGACAGGTGTTTAGAATGTCTTGCCAAGCCAAACTGAAAACCAAACAGAGGAGGGATATTAGAAACACATTTCAATGTAATGCAATCCAGCACAACAACAATACGACTTACACGCTCAGTAATAAACGGTTACATCGTTGAATATATAGTTGTAGTTTAATTACATTTCACCTCCTGAACATTTTATTGTAAACCAACTATTAAAAGCTCCACAATGGAAGAATGCCGGGCTAAGATGTAGTGCATTATATTGTGTACCCAATAAAGAGAGCAGCGAGTGAAAACACACAGCCGTGGCCAAAGCACATTTTATGTTTCCCAAATGTAAACTTAACAACAGAAATCTGGATGAAATTTGAATTTATTAAAGGATAGCCCCTCGACATGCAGCATCTCATTTTCAATGGGGTCCCAACACAAATACAAAGTAATACATAAGCATACTGAACAGCATTACTTAACACACATACAGACAGATCTCCCTCAACTTAACTTAACTGTCTCCCGGTTACTGTGATACTCCAATGAATGAAAAGTAGAGTATTGTTCATTATTATTAAGTCAAAAGTTCTTTCTAACTATATTGTACAAATATTCTTCCACAGCCTATCTCTCCCTTGAACCTTGTGATGAAAAGATATCAAATATATGATATTCAAACCGTTTCCCCTTTACCATCAAACCTGTAAAACTTGTATAGTTGGAAGTATTAAATGATATCGCTATTAAACAAAAAGTATTTAATTTCTGCTGCCAGGGGGCTCTCAGTCAAAACAATAACAAATATGATGTGGAGGCTGGCAGGGAATCATGGGAGTGATTCACTCTACTCCAC